AGCTGAAGAGCTTACTATGCCTTCTTAAAGCTCCCATAGGCTGAAGCAGCAGCAGGCTGTCCTGAAAATGCTGTCAGTTTCCTCTCTGGAGGTCAAGGCCACCCCTGTCCACCTTTCTCACCTGACCGCACGGACACGATCCTGTTGACACCGTCCATGACTGTGAGAGGGTCATGGCGTCTCTCCGTAGAGCACTGCCGGTCAAACTCCACCCTGAGGCCTTCTGCACCTGGAGGACAAGCAGCAGAAACATGGATCGCTCTCAGGCAGCAAACAAAGCCTCAGTGAGCCAAACAAAACCACATCAACCACAGCTATCTTTAAAAGCTAATGAAGCCAGGCATGGCGGCACATGTCTGTCATTCCAGCACTTGGGAGGCTGAGGCAGGAGGATCAGTGTCAGTTCAAGGTCAGCCTGGGCTACATGGTGAACTGAAGACCAGCCTGAACTATACAGTGAGACCCTGTCTCAAAAAAAAAAAAAAGTAAAATAAAAGCTAATGAAAAACTGGCCTCTAAATCAAGACCTGAAAATGCACCACCCTCCTCCCCCACAGAAAGCTGTGCGTGTAGACTAAAAGGCCAAAAACACTTCTCTTGGTCAATCTTGTGCACTGTCACTTTAGGGCAAAGGATCACACTGCAGCCCCAAATGTCAGACCAAGCTGTGTAGTAAATTATGAGCAAAGATGGGTGCTATACTCTGGATCTTAACACATTCCTAAAGGCCATGTGCTAAACACTTGCTCTGGGGGAGCACTGTCTTTATTATGAGGTAGAGCCTTATGGGAGGGAGTTCTTTAGGTCACTGAGGATGTGCCCCAAAAGGGGATATGGGACTCTGCTCCTGACCTGCTTTCTGGACATGAGGTAAGCAGCTCTGCTCCATAATATGCTCTGAAACAGGCCCAAAGCAAAGGGATCAACTTGCCATGGGCTAGAACCTCTACAACTGGGAGCCAAAATAAACTTTTCTCTGTCTAAATTGATTGTCTCAGGTATTTTGCTATAGTGATGGAAAGGTGACTAACACATTAGGTTGTGGGAACTCTTCTTTTTTTTTTTTTTGGTTTTTCTCCAGTACCGGGAACCGAACTCACGACCTTGCGCATGCCAGGCAGGCGCTTTTGCCGCTGAGCTAAATCCCCAGCCCCGATTGTGGGAACTCTTGATGGCAATAATTTCCTACTGCAAGACTGGTGCTTCCAGTACAGGTAGACTGTGGGACTAAGCCCTTAACTTTCTGCCACTCCTGGTAGTGTCAGAATTAAATCATGGGTCACCCAGCCAGCATCCACAGAGAACTAGAGAACTGCTTGGTGTGAAAGTACACATATCTGTGTCAAAGTGTTGTTATTATTAGAGAAGTAAATGTTTCCTTCAGGCTGTAACATCTCTAAGGACGAGCAGAGTGACAATCAGGTAAGTCCAGGCAAGAGGCCCAGGGGAGAGAGGGGGGTCTGAAATTGAGCAAGTTGTCAGATCCTATGTTGAAGTTACAAGAATGTACTGGTGGGCTTTACACAAAGGACCAACAGGCTGTGACTGGTTTTAAGAGAATGTCTCCGAGTACTAGGGGTTTAAAAGAAAATAGTCAGATGGCTCCCACATAACGCTAGCTAGTATTCTACACCAGGTGAGACGTGACTGAGCTAGCTCAGATGGCCTGGAGTTGGTGAGAAACAGCTGCATGCAGAATATATTTTACAAGCAGGTAAGACAGGATTTACCAGCAGATTAGACAGGAAGAAAAGTAGAAAAGAGGAACAAGGTCATGTAATTTTTGTCTTAGGCAACTGCTGGGTGGAAATAACTTTCATTTCTTAAATTTCTATTATTAAAGAGTAATAGTTCATGATTTTTAAAAAGTACTTTTCCCAGTTCATTCTAAAAGTTCATGAAAATGAACTACACATAAAAATGATCAAGGTAAAAGTACTAAGGAGACTAATTTACAAAACAGAGAGGAACACTGTGAAGGGCTGTATACATGTGTGTGTATATATATATACACACCTGGGTCCAGGAGAAGAGGCAGGGAGGGAGGGGCTTTAAAAAAGGAATCGAGAAATGTCATGTGCATGTACCAACTCCCCATGATGAATGTAATCATGACGTACTACAAACGTACCAATAAAATTTTCTCTGATAAAAAAAGATAAAGATATTAAAGCCAAATCCAACACAAAGGTACAGTTAGAAAAAGCAGAATGAGCTGGGCACAGTGATGCACACCTATAATCCCAGCATTCAGGAGGCTGAGGCAGGAGGATCACTGTGAGTTCAAGGCCAGCCTGAACTACGACTTAGCAACACCCTGTCTCAAAAAACAAACAACTAAATAAAATTTTTTAAATTTTAAAAGGGCTGGGAATACAGCTCAGTAAGGAGGTGTGAGGTTTCATCCCCAGCACTGTAAAATAAATACATTTTTCAAAAAAGCAAGCAAACAACAGGTCACTTGGTAGAAGAGTGACAGGGAAGTGATTCATTCCCTTGAAAATTACAAGGGGGATGGGGGCACCAAGCCTTTATTCTGACTTCTTCATGCAGACACTGCCCCAGGTAGTCAACTAAAGGATGGAGAGGAATGGTTCTTTCTAAAGTGTTACGGCTGATGAGAAAAAAATGGTTCATTTAGAACAGCGCTGTTTCGCAACCCCAGTGCATCAGTGGTCTCAGTGCAGAGCATTAGGAACTGCTGACACACCCAAGAAAGGGGCACAGACATTTGACACTTGGTCCTTCCTGAGGCTGGCTCACAGTCAGCAAAGGGTGGAGCCAGTGCAGCCTCCGAACCAGGCACCAGTGTGCAGGCAATGCTGAGCTGCAGCAGGAGCACATTAGGGGCAGACCCAGTTGAGAAGAAGTTTGGTGGACTGGGGAGGGGGAGGGAAGAGGGAGGGAGGGGGAGAGGGGGTACGGAGAGAGGGGGGGGAGAAGTAAAGAATGAGAAAGAATAAAAATGAGA